AAAAATAGTCGGTATCGCGTCGGAACTTTAAAGGAAAACTATATGCCGATCCTCGCCTTTCAAGGGAGGAGTTGGTGTTTTGTAACATTTAATTGGATCGCATTCATACAACAGAGCCCCCATCTCATGAAATTCCAACCGAAATTCTGAAATTTATTTTCCATTCGAACAAACAAATTAAGTAGGCATGTAATATTGATTACCTTACAACTTTATTTAAAGTTATTTTTGTCAAGTCAGATTGCTGGCTCTTGAACGAATAAATGCAGAAATACAGAGTCGGCTTGACTTTTGAAATTACTAAATTGGTAGAATTCAAAGGCTGGCCGCACAATTTGACACATCTGCGCCTCACTTTTAACCGAACACACAGAACATGGGACATAAATCAATCATCTACACGCACTCCACCCCCGCGCGACTGGTATTGCTGGCTCATTTGATTGGTTGATTTTCTGTCCAATGAAAAGTTGTATGTGCTTAGCAATGACCTTGTTCGACAGAATAATCAGTGCGGTTAGGTGGGTAGAAGTCGTCGCTGATAAATGGGGCTAAACTGCTAACTGCCACATTAAGCGGCCAGTGAAGTGGCATTTTTTTCACTGAAATGGCATCGGGGGCATACTAGATGAAAAGGCCTGTTCAGGGGCGAGTTATAACTCACCTGCTGCGGCAGCCGCGGCCTGTGCAGCTGCGGCCCGGCTGTAAGCGACATATTGCGGACTCTCCATATATCCGAGACAAGGACCAGGGTTGTCCAGCGGATAAACATGGGGAGCTGAGGGATGAAAGAGGGATTTAAAAAAGCGGATTTAGAGTCAAGCATCCGATTATTCACGGTAGTCGCATCAGAAGAGATACTGTTGTCGCCAAACATGAAATGGTCGTTGATGCCTTCGTGACGGTGGAGGATCACAAAATGCAATGTGCCTCATCCCTATTTTAGACGAATTTGTTTTGGATTGGTTGTGCCAACTGTACAATGACTGAAGCAGTAATACACTTCGGGGGGATTCTTCAGACCCCCGTGTTTTCCGGCTGTGCCGATAGAACCAGTAGGAATGATTGGTCCCGAAAGTCTGTTCTGGCCAAAACTGCTGATTGAATTATCCAAGGCAGTTAACCTTAGAGCCTTTACTGGGCCACGTGAGCACAAGCCCGATCAAGATAGAGGGAAACGGATAAGCTGCCCCGATAAGGGTTTCTTATAAACAACACTTTAGTTAACTATACGTTGTAGTTTATTATTTAGTTAGTAGATTATTTGTTTGTTATTTAGTTCCATTTGAGTTTAGTTTAGATTAGTTAGTTTAGCTTCAGCTCATTTTTGGTTTACTTTAGTTATTTACATTATACAATTGGATCAACTAAATCATACGGTTTTGCTTATGAGGAACCCTTACCACGACCCTAAAGGGCAACAGCCGATCGCTACTGATGTTCAGCGTATTCTGATCATGGGTAGAGTATAATCTACTCGCATTACAATGTCGATAAATTCTTGGGAGACAGAGAAAAAGACGCAAACCCCCTCCTCACCTGCACGGTTTGATTGGTCAATCATCGGCTGTACGATCCTCCTCCTGGCATTGATGAACCTTGAGGCAAAGAAAAGATATTTCTTTAGGATTTATGAGACAACAGCTCATACATTCTATAGGCTTAGGATAGAACATGGTCCTCTATCGGAAAATTATTAGATACTTACCAGTTGTTCACTTGGAGGATCGTCAGACCGGTATCTTGAGCCAACTGCTTTTTCTGTTCCTCCGAGGGATATGGATGCTAGGGGGTAAAGCAAAGCACAATTTACCCAAATGATCAACCACGAGTTTTTTTACATATCAAGACTCAGTGCAGTCGGGGATGCTGATTATGGCATACACCTATTGGAGTAGGGAAGGCTTGTATGGCCGCCTAACCAGGATACGGAAATAGGAAGGTGCGCCGACTTAAAATAGGTAACCTTGTGACAAATATCAAGAAGGGACCATAGTCTACGCGGTCCCTAAATGTTTCCTTTGATTCGACCTGAAATGGACTGCCAACGATCGTGGGGAATACTTCTGTTTTTGCAGCCTAGTCGGTGGACTATACAATTAGCAAGAGAGTATCTGGCCACATTGACCAGACTGCGGTGATTCCCGATGTCCGCAAAGCAAAGGGAGACTGGAATGGCCATTTTTAGCTTATTAGCCGTCGTCAGCCCGTCATACCCAGACCCAAGTGGTGCTCCGCTCGAGCCTCGAGCTCACGACCTTTCTGACCAGAGCCGAACGTCCTAACCAACGAGCTCGTTGTCCAGCTGGTTTAGGCCGGAGCTATTGACCCCCGTTGATGAAAGTTCACCTGACCGCCAACGGGGCTCATCTGTCCCGCTCTGCCAGGGGGTATCTGGCCGCACTCCTACACTTCGGTGATGATCTCCGTGACCTCTGCGATGCCCTCTACTTTCGACCAAGCAGGTTACCCCACCCACAGTCTTTAAAAGAATCCTAAGAAGTTTTTTTCACTGTCTAGCCCTTTTTCCTTTGCTCCACCTCATTGGCTCGTCTCATTTGGCATCACGAAGAACTTGAGGTACTATTGTTTGATATCACAACCCGCATGTACACAAATCGGAAGTTCAAAGGTACACACCTAAATTTCCTTCAAATAAACTGAAACTGAACTGAACTGAAAGCGTAAATATTCCCCTATGTTAACCCGAATACAAACTCTTAAATAAAACCAAATTTTAACCGTAATATTTATCCTAGCTCTATCCTAAACCCAACCGCTAACGGAACTCCTCTGTTCCGCTCTGCCTTTGGTCTCGTCAGATGCCCTGACAGCCTTAGCAGATGATAGTTTAGGTAGATAGTCGGGTGAAAGTTCATCAACGAATGTCAATATCCCCCGACCTAAACCAGCGAGACAGCGAACTCGTGGCTCAATGGTTAGAGTGTTTGTCTCTGAACAGAATCTGCTATCACTCTGCCGGATAGTGGGGACCATTTTCCGGTTCAGTAAAGGAAATATGCAGCTGCCTGGGCGTGCTGTAACTAGTTTAGACCGATGAAAATACGTACTTTCCTGAATTTTCCAGGAGATATCCCGAAAGGTGGACTTTCAGCCAAGCACTTTGGATTGCCAGATGTATGTCTTCTGAATCACGGTTTATTGCGATTCAGATAATAGGCCTCGCAGTCCCGGGGTTC